TGATGAAAATTACAGGCCTCTCTCATCTTCTTAAGTGGGAGAACTTGCACAATTGGTGGCTAAATATTTTTTTGCCCCACTGTATATAGCAAGTAGCAGTTATATAGAAAGATACTGGAGGCAGATGATCACTTTAATGACAATAGCAAATACATCATTCCTGTATTTTTACCACAAAAAACATATGGATAGGAAATATAAAAACACTTGACGATAGAGTGCCAGATGATGGGCACCTCAGGCTGGATGGCACTCAACATGCTACAGAGGAAGAGCTAACGATTTTTCAGAATACTAATGGTGGCTAGATTAAAGCCTCTGAGACATCTAGTTGCTGATATTGCCATACAGGAAAAGAAAACCTGAGGTTGCAAACACAAAATTACAGTGGAAACATGGAACACAAGAAGCATGAACAGAGGAAAGCTGAACACAGTGAAAAATGACATGAAATTACTACACTTTGACATCTTAGGCATCAGCAAATTGTGATGGACTGGGATTGAACATTTTCAGTCAGTAGATCTATTTATTATTCAGAACATGAAAAATAAAGGACTGGTATTGCTTTTGAGTCAAGAAGGGTATAGCAAGAACAGTCCTTAGCTAGAATGCAAACAATGACAAATAATAACAATTAGACTTTGTGGACAACCCTTCAATATGACAATGTTGTCTATACCTGACGGATCTGGGAGGCTAACAATCAAATTAATTCCATAGATTAAAAACAACAGTCTCAAAAATAAATAACCCTACTTATAATATAAACAAAATTAACAACAATATTAGAATTATGAAGAAATATACAAAGTCATGCACTTGCCAGTTTCAAACCTTCATTACAGCATGCCTTCTTCCTGTACTAGATGAAATGGCCAAGTCTTAACTGTTCTCCTGAAATTCAGGAGGAAAGGAAAAACTGGACCTCATGGGGAAGGAATTCCAAAACTTACTTTCTACCAGGGAAAGTGCATTAATATTACAGTGAAGGAAAGAAAATCCTGTCTGTTTACAAAAATTCCAACTCAGGTACAATTTAAAAGGCTGGGGACTGGAAAAAAGATTTAATCACACGTAAACCAAAATAATTGATGATCTTGTTAGTGATTTAAACATGCCAGTTGTAATTTTAATTTAGGGAGTGAAAAAATGAGAGAAACTGCAAATTAAATGTTTTATAATGCATACAAAAGCTAGCTAAAACCAAACTCACATTAATAACCTAATTATTTAATTTCACCAATAAACAGCAGCTTCTCTATAATCTGCTCACTGTTAGATCTGATGCTAGAAATTTCACTACTCTAAATTTTAGCTTAAGTCAATGAAAACAAGATGGCGTATGATATTAATGGGATCTCTGTTTATAAAGTAGTGCAATATGAAATTATGAAAAGTTCTACAACTTAATAGTCTAGGCTACATTAAATGTAAACAATTTTCCCCTTAATTTTAGGAGTCTGTATGTTATTTGCTAGAAGTTGTTACTCTGAAATAATTGATCTATTAATAAAATTTAAGCTATGTACCTTAAGCATCTTAACAGCTGTATCAAAAATATGAATTATCAAGTTTTTTTTACCTTACATGCATGTGGCTTTACACCTGTATGTTTCAACATATGGATTCTCAAAGAATAGAGTTTAGGTAAACTTCTTCCACATATATCACAGATAAATTCTCGTTTAGTTCTTCCCTTTGTGGCTGCACCACTTTCATCTATATTAGCAGTTGCAACAGTCACTTCATTTTTTTGGGTATGACGAACAAGATGAGCTCGCAGTGAAGCACCATACTGGAACTCTTTTTTGCACAGCTAAGGAAACAAACATTTGAATTGATTTCTTATCAGAAATCTTATCAAAAAATCAGAAGCCAATATTCATGTTTCAGTTTTATAGAGCTGTGTGTATGCTTGTGTGCATGTACGTACACACACACACACACGAAACTTATAATATATAAGCATCTGTTCAAAGATGTAAGATCTAACTTTCAGTTCTGTGAAATCTGGAATGCCAGATGTGTCCAATTCAATCCTATTTAGCTTTCACAGACTTGGAAATGGTTATCCCATTTGCAATGTAACACTTCAAACCCTGGATCTTAATCATCTATGAAATCATCTAAGGATTGAAGTGTATGCTCGAGAACTACTGTCAGGTTGCACTCAATCAGAGAAACTTGACATTCAAAGAATACAGTAACACTATTATAGGAATCTTTGCTCATAGTACATTTTACCAAGTGCTTACTGGGCATTTATAATTTTTCGTCCTTTCATGCTTCAGTGTGTGCATTATAAGAGCATAACGTCTCTGGAAAATCATCCCACATTCACTGCATTTGTGCTGAGCTTCTGCCTCACTGTGTTCTATAATCTCTCTCTTGGGCTGCTTCATCTTCTTGCCTCTTTGCACTAGCTTCATGGCAACCTAATTAGAAAATTGATATTTAAAATGAATATTAGTTACATAGAAAACCAACAACTCAAGCATAGTGTATGTAAGAGGATATATATGACTAGAAAATCAAATCTTTTTTGAGTTGAGCTTAACTCATTTCAGTATTTTAACAAAAATATGGAAGTGAGTTGCCATTACTTTTGGGGTTTTTTTTCAATTAAGCAGTGTAGCTTATGGCTCTAGTGTTTCCTGGAGATCTCCCACCCAAATGCTAATCAGTCATGACCTTGCTTAGCTTCCCAGTCCAGCCAAGTGATGCCACCTACTATGACATTCTGCATGATCACATTATTGGTAAATTTATCTATCAGTTCTATCTAAGGGATGGGAGGCAGAAATATTTGACCATCCTCAAGAAATTTTTAAATACATTTTTAAATACAATTCTGTATTTGATGGAATACAAAAAAATTGTTTGAAAGAATATCACAATCTGTATATACAATTTTTGTATCTGTTCTTAACACATATAGCAACAGACATTGAATTCTTAAACAACCTTGAAGTAAATAAGCACGTCCCCCATATTATCTGCCCAACCACTTCAATCTTGCAAAGTTGGCGTGCTCTGGGTTCCTTTGATTAAACAATGTCATCCATTGGAACCCCCCAGAAGCATGCCTCCTCTGTAGCAGTGCCTGCCCTCTGAAATGAAATCCCCCCGCAAGATCTAGATGGCCCCCACTCTGCTGTTGCTTAGAAGAGCAGGGAAGACCTAGCTCTTCATCCATGCCTTTAGTGAGGGAGAGTGAGACCCCTCACTTCATTCTATCTGATCTGTCACACTTGCCATCTTTTATCATTTATTATAGTTTGATTGTTGTGAGCTGCCCACAGTCATTGATACATATGTGCTTAATTAATTAATAATGTCACCCAGCTACCTTTCTTGGGATAACATTTGTCCCTATTCCATTCAGCTATAGCTAGAGGTAATTGCTATGTAAATTTATTAACAGCAGAATCAAAATCATTTTCTTGTACATTTTCTTGTATATATTTCTTGATATATAGTTTTTAAGTTCTTTAACGTCTCACTATAATAATCACTTTATGGGTTTGCCAGTGTTTCTGAAATACAAGGAAAAATATTTGTAAATTTTTTTAGATAGCTTTGTCTCTCCCCCCACCCCCCATGCTTTTTAAAAAATCTTAGAACTAAGTTTTTGAGCAGACATACCTGCTGGATGGCTGATTTGGGGGCTGGTTTTCTGTTCTGTAGTTTTTTCTCAGTACCCTTGTGCAGTCGAATATAGCCACCCTCACTAACAGAACGCTGGCGAAGCTTACTTTTGTAAGTATCATCTTGACTGAAAGCTGTGGTCTCTGACTGTGATTGTGGAATGCCCTGCATTTTACAAGGCCTACCACGTTTTCGCTTAAGCCCTTCCTGGGAATCCTCAGCAGCAACCTCTGCATTTGCTTCGCTGCTCACATTTTGTTCACTGCTCACATTTTGATCTCCATTTATATTTTGATCAGCATCATTTTCTGCCTGAGTGCTAATAACAACCTGCTCTGCTACTGAAGGCTCAGTTTGTACCACAGTTATAGTTTGATTTGTGGAACATTCCATTATTGGGGCTTTTTCCTCATTTTCAGTTGTTTCCAAAGTAGGAGTATGCCCTGGGAGCTCAGGAGGATTCTTCATAAGAGGCTCTGAAACACTTTGCAATGCTGTTTCAGACACAGTCATCTCTTCTGCCTCAGTATTTGATGTTCCATTCACAGCTGCTACTGGATCTTCAGTAGGTTTTGCTTGCTCAGTCCTGACAACAGGATTAACCTCATTTTCATTCTGCTCTGAAAGATTTTGAGCTACCTCTACTATCTGAACATCTCCTTTCTGGTACACGGTGATTTGTTTATCTTCCATCTGTTTGTGTACATTTTCACAGATTTCCAGGACCTCTGTCATGAGAAGATGCTGAGCTAGCTCGGCTACAGCTGCCATGTTACAAAAATCAAAAATTAACTCTGAAGTATAAGCAAATTCTAGCAAAGGGAGGAAACTGGCCTTCCGAAATCCTGCACCAAATAAAAAAAAGACATTAGAAAGCTTTGAGGAGAAAATAGTCCCTCCCCATTAATTTTAAAAAAGCAGAGGTCTGCCATTCTGGTGGATATTGAGGACAGGGTCTTTTCATTAGCTGTCCCACATCTCAGGAATCATCTGCATATAAATGCATTCATTCCCTACCTTCTTTTTAATTAAACATTTGCTTCAGTGCTTTGTCATTTTTAATGTCATAAGCTGCTGAATTTTAATTCTGTATTTAACATTACTATAAAAATCATTTTAGTTATATTTAAACTCTGTGTATACATGGATACACACTACTGTAGGATAGGTCCTTTTATATCCTGAAAGACAGGATATAAATTTACTAAATAAATAAATCGGGGAAAGTGTCCAAATTAGCTTTCTATCAAATTAAACAGAAAACACAATAAAAAAAAAGAATCCAAACACCTTTTGGCTAAGTTCTCAGGAGAACTTGAAGTTTTACTGACTTCACAAGACAGCATAGCTTTTTTTATATATTTGATTAATCAGCCTTTTAAAAATCTGGAAGTCTGATAAGCTCACTGATTTTATGATACATTACCAGAAAGATCCACTACTGCTTCATGGCTGGAAACAGCTCCCTTCTCTATAAAAAGTTCTCTGAAGTATTCACTGTTGGCTGCCAAAATAGATTTGTGTGCTTTATACACTTCTCCTTCAATAAGCAAGGTAACATCACAGAACTGACTGGAAAGCCGCTGTTGGTTCAGCTGATTCAAAACTGACTGAGAATGTTTTGAAGAAGATTGTTTCACAAGGCCTTTACTGTCAACCTGGCATCAAAAAAGACAACCCACAGTGTTACAACTAAAAAAGCAAAATAAATTGTCATCTTAAATCTGTATATATAAAAATAGTTTATATTTTAGATATAAACTTCCAATGCCAGATTATATGAACATTTACTTACAAATACAAGTTCATGCTTGGCTATTGGCTTCTTTTTCACTGGTTTTGGTGAAGCTGCTGGTAGTGATGTGGAATTACTTATTTCATCATCTGTTTCATTACTGTCTTCATGAGATATTGCATCTAATCCTAGCTCCTCCAACATTTCAGAAGGGTCTGACAGTGATCTAGAACGATCTAATTTTTCCTGACATTTGCTGCATTCTTTAATGTAATCTTTAACTTGCTTCAGAATACCTAAAAAAGACAGAAAAACATTTTAAAATTGTATTGCTCTATTCATGCAGAAAATGATATCTTTGATATTAATCTTTCAGTATCAGGCAGCTAGCTAGTCAGAAAATATTCATCCTTTATCTTTTATTTGGATGTATGGAAACATAGATTTAGTCTATCAGAGCCAATGTTCTTGCCTACTTTCAAATCTTCCTATGTGCCATGTGAGGACTCTATCAAGTGATTCCAAATTTCCAGTCCTACATTTTCCATAAATGTACAAAACCAAGTTTTCTACAACTAAGAAATACTGAACCAACAATGTATGGAGAAACCAAGCAGAGAGGACTCTTTTCAAATCATATTTTCTGCTCTGCCTAAAAAGAATGTTCCTGGCTACCTGCATTACTCCTACAGACTTTCTATCCTGAAATCCATAATCATATAAAACAAAACACGCCTGATCCATTAGAACTGATATCTGATGATAACCCATAGCAAATATGCAGCTGCCTTCTATCTAAAGTGTAGGGAGCTATCCTATGTGGATTAAAGGAGCTCTCTTGATTAGTGCTATATCAAATTTGACTAAAGCTGCATGTCTGCCTTGCATCAACTGAAGACTATTAAAAAACAAGATATGCTTAAAATTTAGAAACTTCTTACATTTTTAGCTACAATATATATTTTTATTTTTTTAAATCACTGCTGTTTGTTTGGGGATTACAGTTCACATCTGCTCAGCATTTGAGCTAAAAAGTAACATTACATCAACAAGCACTCCTCTGCACAGAGTCAAGCATACATAAGTTCATTCATACAAGGAATTTGCACCCATGTAACTCCCTACAGGCTTAGCCTGGCCCAATTTGAATTCTATGCATATTCACTGACTACTGTAATGACTCCTGGGGTTCGCAAGGCACACAAACTTACAAATGATCCGACTGCCTTTTAGCTTAATCTGTTGTTCAAACAAAGCCCTATGTGTTCATTTGATAGTTCAATATGCGTCATACAATCCCAGAAAATGGGGTTAATTCTACAAACCGCGGTTAAGTTATCCAGGAGAACGCAGCCCATGAACTGAACTGGCCTTTTTCGAGCGTAAACCCATTTCCACGGAAATTCATCTTTGAGCACCGGCAATGCAACTCCCTTGCCCCTGCTTTCAGCAGCTTCGAAAGAGAGCGCCTCGGTCTAGGCGAAGGCGGCGCTCAGGACCAGAGGTGGGGCGAATAAGTCGCGCGTGTCACCGCGCCGCTGAGAGGCACCTCCGAACCCAGAGCCAGCCAGCCAGCGTGCTTGTCCGGCCCCCCTCCCCGCCAAGCCCGGTCACGCAGGGACCCCCTTCCTCCTCCATCCCCACCCACTTAGCGCCTTTCCTCACCTCGCCACCAATAGCGCCTGGAGAGGCGCTGCCAAGTCTGCAAGCGGGTCCGGTGGGAGCCATCGGTTTCCAGGTGGGCTGCCCGAATGAGGCGGCCGCGACGCTCGGCCTGCAGCACTACTTCGAGCTCGGCAAAGCGCTGCTGGTCCCGTTGCCGGCGCTGATAGTAGAGGGTCCCACCGCGCACCACATAGCAGGCGGCGGCCTTGCGGATCTTGCGCTTGACGTTGCCCTCGGTCCCCGGCGCGTAAGGCTCGCGCTCGTTCGTCAGGTAGCGCAGGATGGCCAAGTAGCTCTCCTCGTGCGTCATGGGGGGCGGGGAGACGAGAGAGGCGGCCGACGGACGCCCCCTCGTCAGCAGAGGAGGGGGCACTTCAGCCGCTGAAAGGAGAGAGTCCGACGCGGATCCAGCTCTGTTTCGGGGGTGGGGTTGAGCCCTTGAGTTTCCAGCTGAGGAGACGCGAGTGAACTCTCCAGAGAAGATGAGCCGGCGGCGCGGGGGGAGAGGCAGGCTGCGGGCGGGCGGGCGGGCGGGTGGGTGGTGTCTCCTGTCACAGGTGTGGGGAAGGAGACCACTCGGAGCGAGAGAACCGAAAAGCAAGGGGAGAGGGGGAATGGCGGGAAAGGTTAAAATAAAGAAAAACCCGAAGCATTGGGTCCAGAAGGAATCGGGCCCCAGGGGGTGGAACTGGAGTTTCGCGGTCCGCGGCGACGGGTGGGAGGAAGAAGCTCGGGCAGCCGGATCAACGGAAAGACAAAATGGCTGCTGCACAAGCGGAAGTGAGGTCTGGGAAGATCTAGCCTAGCCCTCCGAGCAGAGGAAAGGGGAAGCGGTTTGAGGAGCGTCGCCGTGCTGGAGTTGGGAAAGCGCTGCCAGGGCCGTCGAAGATAATCAGTCGATTTAGTATAGGCAGCGATAACGGGAGCGGGAGACGGTTGATTACTTGCAGTATAGGCAAAATTGTCTTGCTTAAATTGTATTAAATAAATGTAGCTCCTTTCTTGGACTGAAAAACTATCTAATCAGTCCGAAAATTGCCAAAGCTTGGCTGAGCTATACGTATTAGACTCTGCTCGGATAATTCTGATAGTACTTCCATGAGAATTTTAAAGTGAAGTTAATTTATAAAGTTTACAGCTTAATTTTACAGAGTAGCATACTTGACTTCTTTCTGACTTTCTGCAGAAGCTGAGAAATAATGTACCGAAAGATGCAACTTAGTCAGAATTTTCCTATCATAAAGGGATTTAATTTTACTTAAAAAGAATTGGTGTCTTAGCTATTTGTCTTCTTTCTCATCTATTCGTTTGGATAATATGTAGCATACTGAGCTTGCAAGTAACACTTAATTGATTCTATATAAGCAGCTGTTTTGGAAGGTTTTTTTCGGATCAGGGCTACCCAGAACAGGGTGGTGGGGCTTCAGTTTCAGAATTCCCAGCCGGTCATGTTAGCTGGGGATTCTTGGAACTGCAGCTGAACACAGCGCGGCACACAAACTTGAGACAACTATCAGAATTGGTCTGAGCCAAGTTCATTGATCTCAACATTAAGTTACAATAATTAACATTACAGTGACACCCCAAATGCTATGGCCTGCAATTTGCAAGAATGTAATGTTTAATTAATCATTAATGAGAGCCAGTTTGGTGTAGTGGTTAAGGCATCAGGCTAGAACAGGGAGGCAGTTAGTTCTAGTCTCACTTAAGCAGCAAGCCAGCTGGT